CGTATACACCAATCCTATACTTATATATATATATATATATATATATATATATATATATATATATATATATAATATGTCTCAGCGTCTCGCAAGAAAAACTCGTTAACCACTGCGCACACACACACACACAGACACGCATACATACATGTAGACGTCAACATTTTACGAACAGTTTCTGCAAAAGAAGATATTTATTTTGTATTCTATGTTTTGGGAAAATACTATTTTTTCTGAGTTAAAACAAATAGGAATACGAAAGGCTTTTTGTAATGTAACGATTCGGTCAAAATTATAAATAAAACAGAATATTTGAAATAATTCTTAAAGCACCCAATCTTTGGGATTCTTTGATTAGAAAAAAAAATTCTATTAGGAAATACAATATAATACAAAGAGATATACATTTTTATTTTTGGCTTAGTAGGGAACAGATGTTGTGGTTTGGCACGTAAATCATTTCTTATCTTAGCTCCGTATATTTCTAATGTATTCATATAAAACAATCTTACTTAATAGATTTAGTTCTGCTAAAACTTTTCAGCACTAAAATGGTAATGAAATTAATGCATTTTTGGTTTTATTAAAGAAACAGTTTGTTTGAGGAACGCCATAATGAGATGTATACAATTACTTACCTGACAGAAAATCTCCACCCACGCGTCTTTAAGAAAGTGACTTCTTTCAAATTCAGAAATGATTTTAAAAAGAAACTGTTTTCCTTAAATCGTTTATGTTTTTAAATGCATACGAATGTCAAACATTTAAAAAATTAGATTCAAAGTTCTCCTTTTCTGTATTTTGTATCAAATCAGAGAAACTTATGAATTTTGAATACAAAACGCAATCTGCATATTCGCTTTTATAATGATAATGGAAATATATATTTAGTTCAATCTGGCGGTCGGATAGATAGATAAACAGAGAGATAGAACCAAGTATTCAGTGATATATCATAAACGGATAGAAAGGGATTGAAAAGGGCAATTAGTTCCTTTAAAATGCTACAAATTTATTAAATAAGAGGAAGTAAGTGACAAAGTCTGACACCATATTAGGACAAAAAGACTCGTCACCAGTAACTATGGAAAACTTAGTCTATTCGCAAGGGTTTTCGTTACGGGTTTAGATGGAGTTAGCTCAGTTGGTAAAAAATGCATGAAAAACAAGACAAGACGACTTCTTCAAGCATGACAGAGACTGGGTGTAGACAGTCTCTTAAATGATATATGTAATGAACAAGCGTTTTAATTCTGGAAAATAGAAACAATGTTTAGAAAGATGACTTTTACTTGCTTGACAAGGTTAAGCAACGTTGGCCAGAGTTTTTGCATAAGGGGTCACTCGACGTTAAGAAAATGCCTCACGAATTTTCGTTCTTCCTTTGTTTTTTTTTCTGAATCAGACAAAGAGACCGACAAAGATGTCTGTTTAACATTCTCTCTGATACACACATACGCATATATATATATATATATATATATATATATATATATATATATATATATATATGAAAATGTATCAATGATTCCATAGCCTAACACGTAGCTGTTAGCTGAATTGTGATATGAAATTTTTGCTAGATCTAGTTCAATCTATGGCGTTAATGAAGTGCATTGACAAAGAAGGATATTATGTCGAAAAAGTAATACTTGTCGAGTAAAATAAATGCCTTTTTCACCATTGTGCTATACACTTTTGATATTACTTAGACAAACAAACACATACGCACGCACACACACACACACATATATATGTATGCGTGGCCATATATATAAAGGCATGTCTCATCATCTGGTTTCAACTTCAAACAGAAATTATTTCTGTCTAGTGCATACAGTATTTTATTAATTTTATGTACGTAAATATATGCAAATTTCATTGTATATAGTGGCATACATATATATGCAGAAAGCTAACATCTATTTGATTCTAAATTAAACGTATGTCAACTAAGATTTATATATAAGCGACGAAGTCTATGCATTTATTATATAAAGCTATAAAGAACGGATTATAAAGTCAATGATATTGTTTTAGTTTAATTTCTTGCCTAAACAGTCGAAAAGATCTTATGACCCTAATTATTATGCTTAAACGTTAATCGAAAAACATTGACAAATAAAAATGTACGCATTAAAATCTTAAATTTGACTAACAATCAATCGTAATGACTTCAGAGAAACTAATAATAAAGATTTAATGAATTTATGAGGAAAGAGCTAAAGAATAAGCAATAAAATTGTTTGGTTATTGAAGTTTCAGAACTCAGACAAAAATAGGTCATTCGGCTTTTGTTTGCCGTTTGCATCTATCAATTCGTATTTCTGGAAAATCACACTGATTGAAATGACTGATTCTAGCTTATTATTAAAAAAAAAAGAAATAATCCACTGATAAATTATAAAATTATTTTAAAATTATTAAAAAAAATTATATTAATTTTCTTGAATTAAGAAAATGAAAAACGCGCATTTTTTTTTCTTCGTCAATTTTTTTGTAA